ATGTATATATATATTAATTTAATTTTTGAAAGATTTACATGCACACAATTCAATTCTTATGTATTTGTACATTTAACGGCTAAAGTTCAATTTTTATGTACATGTCAATTTATCTATTCATGAAAATATATATTGTACTTTTTTTTTAATTCAATAATGTTATGGAAGCACACCCAAGGCATAGGGCAATGGGTTTTTCAATTACTAGTATGTCCTCTAATTATTAGTCTCTGATGAGGTTTTTTTACTACATTACATGTGTAAGATATTTTAAATGACAAGTGGGCTTATCCGATTGGTGTAAGTCCTGACAATCAGTGGGTGTGCAACCGATCGTTCGCTTCGTCAAATTTAATTCGGTCGTCACACCTTGATTCGACCATTTACCCTTAGGTCGACTGTTAGGCTTTTTAGTGTCTAGATCCTTAGGTTTAACTTCAAGGGTCTTTTCTTCCTCTAGAGTTATTTGACTTGACTGTTGGATTGTCTCAATATTTGTCTTGACATATATTTTTTTTATACTTTTTTTAAAGTTAAAATTATGGTATTTTGAATTTGGTATGAAGGATTTTGAGTTCTAAATGTAAAAAAAAAAAGTAAATTTTAGGTGTTTGATATGCAAATACATAAAATTGGGTGGCATGCATGTAAATACTCCTTAATTTTTTATTTCAAACAGAATTGAAAGAGTTGAAAATGATAGTTATTTCTAAGAATACTTAAAACGACTGAAATTATTTTGAGTATTTTATAAATAATTCAACTTGGTTTTAAAAAAAAATAAAAATTAGAAAAAAAAAATGCAGCAAATAAATATTTTTTAAAAAATAAAAATAAAAATAACAATACTCCCAAATAGGCTTTTATTGTTTGACAAACTCAGCTCGCTATGTGTCAAAAAGATGCTGCCCTTAATCAATATTCATTATTTGGCAAATCCACCTTAAGAATTGTCATATAGAATCACACCACTATGACATCATTTCACCCCATCAACATCTCCTCTGATTTAACATTGCCTTGCAAAGCAAAGCACACTTCAACATCCTCAGATAATTTTTTCATCTTGGCATTGGCTGCAGATCATAGCTGGCGAACCAGAGAGCAAAACTGAGACCTGGATGAGCAATGCGTACAGCTTCGGCATGTTGTTGTGGGAGATGGTTACCGGAGAAGTCGCATACTCTTCCTGCTCGCCGGTGCAGGCGGCCGTAGGCGTTGCGGCCTGCGGAATGCGGCCGGAGATCCCAAAGGACTGCCCTCCTGTTCTTCGGTCCTTGATGATAAGGTGCTGGAACAACTGCCCCACAAAGCGTCCCACGTTCTCTGAGATTGTTTCCATCCTTCTGAAGCAAAAGATTTGAGGATCGATGGCTGATGTTTGGCTCTCTCCAGTTTTTTTCGTTAAGCGCAATCGTTTCAAATCTGGAGCACAACATTTGGTGATTGTTATCTCGATCCCCTTTGAGAAAATGGGGCTTACTTCAAATCTCCATGAGACATTGTTCTCCGCCTGCTATCGCCCTCACGCAACTGGCCATCCACCTTTGGGACTTAGCTCGCCGACTACTGTGCAAACCTGAGCAGGGTGATGTTGCGAACTCTTTGAATTGGTTGATCATCTTCCTCATCTCCTCTTCTCTGATCAGGAGTGCTCGACTCGGGTGTGATTTTGATGCAACCTTTGCCTTAGGTTGATAATTTTCTGGAGCAGCTGTCACTGATTCTTCTTTCCCAGCACGAGTGGATGCAAAGGAACGAGAAAAAGAAGCACTGAAACCGATTTGTTGCAGTCTTTTTGAGTGGTTTGAAGTCATTAATTTACGCTCGATCGAGCTGAATCTTCATCTTAGCATCAAACTTCGGTATTATCAGTTTCTTAAATCCTGATTACAAGCTGTATAAATTAATTCAAATCTTGTCATGGCATTGATCACTATCAAATGTGTTGCTTCTTCTTTTTGTTGAAGATAAATGGGACAAAAATATAAGTTTCCCTGATGGAATCTTGTTGAATAAGTCCTACAAATTATTATCATTAGTTATAATCTAATTTTAGTTGATTACTTTCACCACCAGCATCAATGATTTGCCTCCACGTTTCCAAACCCTCCAGTTATCAAGATAATATTATGACCATTGTGCGGACCTGCGGACTACGAGTGGATTGTACCACGTCATGCATCCAGCGCTTGCGGTGCAATCCACACTATTGACCTTACATTCTGTTTATGGGACGTAATATTTTCTCCTAGTTATCTCCCTAGTGCTACTTATACCCATTAAGTCAATTTTACATCCTCCATTTGAATTAATGAGTGAATAATGCAAGACAAATGGATTATAGGTTTCTCTTTCAAATTTGTGTTCGACATTTACCCATTTAATTTAATCTTTCGTTAGGACATATAATTGCTATACTTTTGAACACTCAAATCATTAGTTGAGTGGAAAATCCCGAAGTGTTGGGTTCGAGCACTCGTCCTACTTGAAAAGATGACGTCACAAATTCTAATTTCATGTAAAAGCTCCTGATCCTCTATTGAACTTATATTGAAATAAAATTTTATTTCTCTTTAAATCTTTTAGTTCTCTTTCCTCTCCTATTTGTTCTTTCCCTTCCCCATTTTCTCATATCTCCTTCTTTTTATTCAAATGTTGCCCCTTTTCCTCTAATTTTTCTTCCCAAAGATCACAAAGTTTTTTCAAGCCATCAGTTGAAATAATAATTTCGTAGTAGTTGGTTGTTTTCATTCATTTCTTTTTTTATTTTTAAAAGAGTCTTCAATTTGTCCATCGTAATATATTTCTCTTTTCCGAATAAATCTTTATTCAGATCATATAGATGAGTAAGAGAAGAGAGGAATTGGAAGAATAGGATATACGACAAAGGCAAACAAAACAGAGAAAGAACGTGGAGAGCTTCCATGTGGCAAACTTCACTAGAATAAGTCAAGCACACAGGTCTGAACAAGATTAGATTGAAAGAGCTTGTCCCAAATATCCCCAAAAGAATGGCTACAAAAGCTACACAACCGGAGATCGAGGTGTGTTTGCCTGTTCTGGGGTCCAGAATGCTCCCAAAGGGATGTATCCCACTTAGTTAATTATATTTTGGGGGTTGATCTAAGGAGTTTTTCTTACATTTAAAGTGACAACTAACACAGGGATATCAAAGGACAGTTTTTCACAGGGGAATGCTCTGATGCTTTCAAAGCTCCCGCTAAGTCACGAGGCAGAAAGTAAGTCTATACAGTCCCACCTGGGCAACGAATTCATCGACATTCAGTGCCTGTAAAATAACCAAATCAATATTACAGGGAATCTCGATATGTTAAAGCACATTCAGACCATAAGAGTAGATGATAAATCTTCATATCCCAAATGGGCGACAACTCATCAGTAATCCGGCTGTCAAGATGATATCAACGTAGGCAAAATGAGTGATAGAGCTCAACAGGGGTAGTTAAAAAGAAGGAGTAAACCTTAGAAGGTAGAGATTACTGGGTCAGGGTACTACGAATTTGTCATCCCAAGCCACTAAAGCCCTAAGTTTACCTGGTCGTGAAGGTAGTCGACCCAACATGTCTGGAGATCCCCGGTCAGTAACCCGTGAATTGCGTCGTCCGTGCAGACCTTGATAGCCATGAGGTCAAAAGAACAAAATTCTATCCTATGACTATTAGGTAAATCTCCAAGAAATGAGACTTATACCTATCTGGATCAGGAGCCTTCTAACGACCTAAGCTCACTAGAAAACCACGTAAACAGAAACCTATGTTGGGTTAGTCAGGTTGGAAATTTACGGAGACTTCTCCTCGGGACATGAAAAAAATGTTGCAGTTATCTAGAGAGTAATCTTTAGATATTGTGAAGACCTTATTAGTATGACTTGAAATATGACCATGCATGCAACCTATTTTAAAACTAGCCCGAAGGACATGCAGGAAAGTAAAAGCAGATTTTAAAAGTTCTGAATCTCTTAATCCTAAATTTGAATTAATATTGAAGTTTTTATTTGAATTTTTTTAGAAAAATTTACAATCTTAAGGTCCTAAAGAGACTAAATTGCAATTTCGTAACATCCCAGACACAACCAGAAAGAAACAGAGGAAACTGCCCAAACATGCAATCATGCGGGAAAAGTAGTAGAACAATCCAAGTAAAATAATAAAAAAGGTCAGTTTCATTTAGTAAACAACATATCCCAGAAAAAAAGGCGGTCAGACACTATGTGTCATACTTTAAAATTATGGGAGAGGCTAATTGAACTTAGGCTAAAACATATTACAAAGATTTCTCATAATTAATTTTGATTTATGTCGGGCAGATCTACTATGGAAGCTATACATTTATTGAGAGGTCTGATGGAGAAGTTCAGAGATAATAAGGAAGATCCACATTTGATTTTTATTGATTTAGAAAAAGCTTACGACAAGGTTCCAAGAGATATTCTTTGGAGAGTTCTTGAGAAGAAAGATGATGATATGACTTATATTCATGTCATTAAAGATATGTATATTAGAGTTGTAACTTGTGTTCGAACAGAATGAGGATTGACTAAATATTTTCCTATTTCTATTGATTTTCCTATTTCTAGGATTACATCAAGGATCGTCTTTAAGCCCATATCTTTTTGCTTTAGCTATGGATGGTCTTATCGGACATTTACAAGAGGATGTAACTTAGTGTATGCTTTTTGCTGATGATATCCTTCTCATGGATAAGACGAGAGAAAAAGCTCAGGAAAAACTTGAATTATGGAGGTTTACATTTGAGTTTAAAGGCCTTTGTTTGAGTAGAAGTAAAACTGTATACATGGAATGTAATATTAGTAATAGTGGTAGCTCTAGTGACAGAAGTGCAACTTTGGGTAATCAAATTATTAAAAGGTGCGAACGATATAGATATCTCAGGCACATTGTTCAAATCGATGGGGATGTTATTAGTAGAATACAAGTTGGTTGCTTGAAGTGGAGGAATGCTTCGTGCCTATTGTGAGATAGAAAGTACCGTTTAGACTGAAACGAAATTTTATAAGATGGCGGTGAGACTTACAAAACTCTATTATGGCACGGAATGTTAGCCTTTAAAAGAGAAGCATAATACTAAGTTTTGTGTTGTCGAGTGAGAATGATTAGGTGGATGAGTGGCTTTACACTTAGAGACAAAATGCAAAATGAATATATTCTTGCTATAGCTGGTGTAGCTTCTGTGAGGGACAAAATTAGAGAGAGTCGTCTTAGATGGTTTGGTCACATTAAACGTTGACTATTTGATGATCTGATTAGGAGAGTTGATGTTTTAGATTCAACTTATGTTAAGAAAGGCAGAGGTAGACCTAGGAAGACTTAGGGCTTATTGTATAAAAAATGATCTTAATTTATTAGAATTAAATGAAAATATGACACTAAATAGGACCCAATGGAGAAAAATGATTCATGTAGCCGACCCCACTTAGTGGGATTAGGGCTTTGTTGTTGTTGTTGTTGTTGTTTTAGGTGATTTAACATGTCAATTAATGAGCTCTATCATCAATAAGGTCAATACATGTCGCACTAACGTCGACCTCAGAACATCAATTACATTGATACACACTATCACCGGTAAGTTTAATGCATGTTGTCAACACCAAAATTGATATCCAACGATTTTGTCACTTGTTGCTAGCAACCTTCACGAACATCATCACTAATAAAGTTGATGCCCGTCATCTCCACTAATGTTGATGCTCGCTAACCTCGTGTTTGTCATCACCAACCACGCTGACTCACTCCACCACCAATAAGGTTGACGTGTATCTACAGACCAACTTTGATTCCCGCCGACGTTTTTGCCCTTCATCGGCAACAATATTGATGCATGACATTGCCAATAGGACCAATGCACACAAACTTACTGTACATTGTCGCCAACATCCGTGCATGTCATCACCAACATGGCAGATGTACATCATTACCTTAACACCCACCATTGCCAATTTGGAATTGACGTGCAGTCATCACCAAAGTTAACATGTACAACCTTACAAATACTTTCCCCAATAATGGAAAATGGTATAATTTGCAATTTATATTACACTATTGAAATCATTTCAAGTGAGTGAGAGAGTATAAATGTCAGTTTTTAACATGTTTTACTTAATTATTGTGTTGCTTGTCAATTTGTGCATTATATAGTCACTCTTATCTCTTTGCAGGTTCCTGTGCTTCATGGACGGCTGTAGGTGCTACGAACCATCATTGTCCTGTGAGAATACTATGGATCCATCCCTTTCACGATTTTTTTTCTATTACAATTCTTTTGACGCCAACAAATCCTTTGTCTTTATAGATAATGCCACGGTTTTTTTATATATATATATATATAATACTTCTTAGGAGAGCTGTTTTGAATCAATATAATAAACTAAATATTTTAGAGGAAGATTTACATGAATACTACTCTATTCTTATGTATTTACATATTTGAAACCTAAATTTCAATTTTTTGCACATATATCATTTTATCTAAGCATTAAAATGATGTATTTCAATTTTGTAGAAATTGAAATATTTATCTGATATAATTATAAAAATTAATGTTTAGGAGTTAGGTATGTAAATACATAAGAATTGGGTTGTGTGCATGAGTGAAATGCTTTTAGAACTCCAGCCCGTTCAGAATTGCTTGTGGGTTCACATACCGTTGGAGAGACCTGCGTAAGAAAGGTAAATGAAGCAAATTCATGTGTTCTCCAGACCTAAATTATGTCTCATCTCGATGATTCTTCTCCGGTGAAGCGGAGAAGGTGATATAGAGAGGGAGAAAGAACCAAAAAATTCAGAGAATGTTACGGCGTAAGATCTCCGGGGAAGGCCTAGAAAAGTCCAAAATAATAAAATATGAAGTGTAGTGCCTAAAGTATGGTGTCTTGATGAAAAGAATGATGTTGAACGGCCCATAAATGATGGTGTGGCATATGCTTATCTCAGATGTTAGTCATGACATTTGCGTTCTGTCAATTTCGAGGATCACCGGTGAGGCAAACTTCATAAAAGAAGTTGATTGATTAGTCTGTCAAATGAAAAAAAAAAATTAGTTAAGTGGACCAATTCGGCGGGTCAGCTCGGTAGCTGATACAGGAGAACTGACACATCGGTAAATGAGGTCACAGGTCATCTCAAGGGATTATTTAAGTGATGGATCTTCTGAGTAGATGAGGTTATTAGGCCCATGAAGCCTGCTATACATGTACTTTGATCGATGAAAGATAGTTTTTTGTATACAGAATGTAAATGATCCAATTTTAAAAAACATAGATATAAAACTGATCTAGATTGGTTGGTTTCTTCATAGAGTCAAAATAGAGGAGAAATTTGATTTGTCCGATCAACAATACTTGGATGGGCTAGAGCTTAGATTGAATAATTTTGAGTCAATCTTGGTGTACATCATGAATGTGCCAGCTCAAATCCCGAGAAGATTAAACAATCTATTAGAAAAGAAATGCAACAAAGGAGAACCAACCAACAGGAGACTAAGAGACCCATTTATCAAATAGGATGCAGTCATCCGAGCCAAGAATGAAGGCTGATCACGCCAGGAGAAGGACAAAAAGAACAATCAAATTAAGTTCGAGCCAACTGGACTAGAGCAAGACGGATAAGCATTTAAGGTAATCATCGTTAGAAAGCCAAGCAAAGTCATTGACCTACCATTCGATAGATCCGACCTAAAAAAAAGAATACAGTTCCTCACCATCAACAACCATCCCTCGGATGCCTAGAGTTTCTTCATCAGAGACTAAGAATTAGCAATATAATAGTGTCTTACAACCATCGTGAAGGACCTTTCGTCAATGAATGAGTTATTTATTGGGATACGGTGATTAAACCCTTGCTCGATAATCTAATCTAGTTTTAGTGACAGGAGCTCCTCATCCAGGGATCAAGCATTGATGACTAGAATGATGACTAGAATAGATCAACCGATCGACAAAGTCTTATGAACCTAGTCACTTTTGCCCATCCAAAGCTAATAAAATCCAAACTAGATAATCCCTTTCTTCATAAGGTTCAGTTTTAAATAGAAACTCCATGTTTTCTTCGAGTATCCTATATCTAAATTTATCACAAAAAAAAGCATAGAAATAAGCTTCATAATTAGAGTTTTTACAGCACAAAAATCAAACCTACTTTTAAAACAAAATGAGAGCAGCAGAATAAGCAATGCTGAGAACCAAATGCTCCAATTCTCAATAAACAAAACAAAAGAAATTTCTCAACAAAACAAATTTGGCAAACAACTAAATGAAATTACATTACTTCTGGAAGCATAAAATATCACAATTATTTCTCCCAACAGAAATTTCCTGATTACTGCAGATAAGAGAAGAAGAGAGTTCAACTAATCCATCACTAAAAAGAATGTGAACATACATTATTAACAGTATCATCCAAAAGCTCACCGTCTTCAACCTCCAAATTACGATTATAACATTTTCCATTATCTCTATACTGATAAACCTGTTTTGTTCCAGCTGAACCAGATAGAACTGAATGATCTTGAACCCTCATCCAACCAGAAGCATCCTGCTTATCTTCCAGAACCCTCGAAGTAATAAGCTTCTCCAGCATAAAAATGGCGGCTTCCTCATACAGAGTGTGCGAAAGATTGGTTGTTGCGGTATAAGTATTGTTGACTCCAGGCAAGGTTTCAGCCAGAATCAAAAGAGGAAATTTGAACTTGTGAGAAAATCTTGATAGTATGACCTCCTGGCTATTCTTGATCTTCACCTCTGTTTTGGCCTTCGTCTTCAGATGAACAGCTTTGTAGTTCCCATCGTTCTGGAATTCCAGTGAGCTCTTGAATTTAAGCTTCTGATTTACATCAGTTGTTAGATTGCCAATGGATGAATTCACCCAGCCTGAGAAGTGAATTTTCCTCTCTGCGTCAATTTTGAATGATCCGTTCAAATGGAGAAATTTGTTGGTTCGGACGATGGAAAGAGGAGGCGCCTCGTATCGAACTAGTTTCGCTGTCACGGATTCGGAGTTTGAATCCAACCATAGATGCAGACTAGCGTCGATGAGCCATAAGGAGATTCCATCGGTAACCCTCAGCCCAATGGAATGTTCCTTCCCATCCGAAAGAAGCTCGAGAAATGGCGTCAGATCGAGATTGTAGGAAGGAAGATTGAAGGCCCCGATGGCGACAACAGGAGACCAGAACAAAGGATTGATCCCTCCGGTAAAGATAACGGGAAATGGAAGAATGGTGCCTGCAAATCGGCCGTCAATGGTGGCGTAAACCTCCCGGAAAGCACCGTTTCCTCTCTGGGTAGTCAAGTTGTTCTCCTTGATGTACACATCGGGAGGATTCCAGTACCAAAACTCATCGTTGGAATGGAATGAAACGTAGACTTCAAGAACAGCTCTGAAAGTGTTTCGAGGAATTCTAACTCGACTGTAATGCGCTTCCGATTGATTCTGGATCCGAAACCAGAAACCGGTGCTGCTATTCTTTATAGAAACAGGAATTACAACATCTGCGGGATCCTCTAATGAAGGAATCAGCTTCACCTCTTCTTCGCCGAGATCGGATTGAAACCCTAGGGCAAAATCGCGGCGTTCATTCTTCATCGCGTTCGCATCGGTGTCATCGGAATCGGGATAAAACTCAACCGACACATTCACTTTATAGATCCCTGTGTAAACATCGTTAACAATATTCTCCAGCATCATCGAAACGTTGAGGCCACCGGAGCCGCGTAGGATCGGGACGTAACGCGTGATATCCTTGCGTACGCGCCAGAAGATACCGGATTCCGTCGGCTCGGCGGTGCTGGTGCGGAGGATCTCGACGCCTTCGATCCAGACGGCGGCGATGCGATCGTATTGCTCCCCGGCGCAGGAGACGGAGAGGTCGAGAACGACTCGGGACCATGGGGGCGGGCATTTCGCCGGAGGCGAGAAAACGGCGGTGGCCGGCGGTAGGCCATAGGTGTTAGCGAAGTCATGCTGGAGGATGGGGATGGAGCAGGAGGGGGATTCTGTTGGGGGAAGGAAGGGTGGAAGAGTGGGGTCGAAGTACTCCTGAGGCTCCGGCGAGCGGATGTGGGGGGAGAGGAGGAAGCGGTCGGGGAGGGAGAGGGAGGTGGTCGAGGCCCATAGAAGGCTGAAGAGAAGGAGAGAGAGGGCACTGCGAATAGACATCGGAGATGATTTTCCGGCAGTGGAGGTGAGTTCTTGTGCTGTTATTAGCAAACAGGTGGAGTTGTGGAAGTTTCAGTGTGTTGGCTGCTTAGCAGAGCGGAGAATGTGAAAAACGGCTCGAGGTAGAAGACAGAACGAATTGGAAAGGGTTTGCGGTATAGATGTTCCGGCATAGTTGAAGAAAGGTTAGTCTGTCTGGTTTCCAGGACGAAGGGCCGTGACACCATTAGCGCAGGCTCCGGCGAAGGTTCGTCGGGATTGAAGCCGCTGATAAATCGTAATTAGGTTGTAATCACACAGTAACTTAATTTCTCTCTAAGGCTTCGTTTGGGGGCCGTTTTTTTCGCGCTTTGCGGCCCATAACCGCGATATATTACTGTTTGGCTACCAGCTTCGCTGCCGAACGAAGCCGAAGCGGGGGGGAAGGGGGGGCCG